GCGACAGAGCGAGACTCTGTCTGGAAAAAAAAAAAAAAAAGCTAGGCATGGTGGTGCATGCCTGTAGTCCCAGCAACTCTAGAGGCTGAGGCAGGAGGATCTCTGAGCCTGGGATTTCAAGGCTGCAGTGCACCATGATCACACCACTGCACTCCAGCCTACGTACAGAGCAAGGTCTTCTTTGGAAAAAAGGTAGCTATGTCAGACGGTGAAAGGCTGAGCAGCACATCCTGTCTGTTTCTGGAACAAAGTGTGGCAGCCTTGGGCAGATGCACACCTCACCACGGACAAAGCTGAAACTGCTCCAGCTGGCAGGGCCAGGCCCAGGCCCAGGACAGCAGAGGTCCTGCAGGCTCCCAGGCTGACCGAGGCACCACTGCGGCCAGCAATGCCAAAAGATGCCTTCTGGGCACTGGCCACAGGGTGGCATCTTTTTTTTGAGACAGGGTCTACCTCCGTCACCCAGGCTGGAGTGCAGTGGCGCAATCTCAACTCACTGCAACCTCTGCCTCTGGGCTTAAGCAATTCTCCCACCTCAGCCTCCTGAGTAGCTGGGATTGATTACAGGTGCCTGCCACCACACCTGGCTAACTTTTTGGGTTTTTTTTGTAGAGACAGGGTTTTGCCATGTTGCTCACGCTGGCCTCAAACTCCTGAGTTCAAGCAATCTTCCTGCCTTGGCCTCCCAATGTGCTGGGATTACAGGCATAAGCCTCCATGCCTGGCCATTTCTTTCTTTTTATTTTATTATTTTTTGAGACCGAGTTTCACTCTTGTTGCCCAGGCTGGAGTGCAATGGCATGGTCTCGGCTCACTGCAACTTCCGCCTCTCGAGTTAAGCGATTCTTGTTCCTTAGCCTCCCAAGTAGCTGGGGACTACAGGCACACGCCACCATGTCCAGTTAATTTCTGTATTTTTAGTAGAGATGGAGTTTCACCGTGTTGGCCAGGGTGGCCTTGAACTCCTGACCTCAGGTGATCTGCCTGCCTCGGCCTCCGAAAGTGCTGGGATTACAGGTGTGAGCCACTGCACCTGGTTTTTTTTTTGTTTTTTTTTGAGACAGGGTCCTACTCAGGCTGAAATGCAATGGCATGATCTCAGCTCACTGCAACCTCTGCCTCCTGGATTCAAGCGATTCTCCTGTCTCAGCCTCCTAACTGGGACTACAGGCGTGCACCACCACGGCCAGCTAATTTTTGTATTTTTTGATAGAGACGGGGTTTCACCATGTTGGTCAGGCTAGTCTCAAATTCCTGGCCTCAAGTGATCTGCTTGCCTTGGCCTCCCAAAGTACTGGGATTACAGGCGTGAGCCACTGTGCCCAGCTTCTTTCTTATTTATTCATGCACTTTTTGTTCCCCCAGGTGTTTGAAAGTATAACTGACATTTAAACGTCGCAGGTATTTGTGGCGCATACTGTGGTGTTCCTATACAGGCCTACACTTGCGTGGTTTCTTCACAGCAGACTGAGACGTGTAAGCTCAGAAACAAAACTTTTACACATTCAATTCTTTAAGAAGTAACCCAGGATGCCTGTAATCCCAGCACTTTGGGAAGATTAGGCAGGCGGATTATGAGGTCAGGAGTTCGAGACCAGCTCGGCCAACAGGGTAAAACCCTGTCTTTACTAAAAATACAAAAATTAGCCAGGTGTGGTGGCAGGTGCCTGTAATCCCAGCTACTCGGGAGGCTGAGGCAGGAGAATCATTTGAACCCAGGAGGCAGAGGTTGCAGTGAGCTGAGACCGTGCCGTTGCACTCCAGCCTGGGAAATAGAGCAAGACTTCATCTAGGGAAAAAAAAAAAAAGTAACCCAAACAAGGAAATCTGTAGCCGTTTAGAGCCTGCCTGCTTTGTTGAAGCCTCACCTACTCTGGACACTGTTACCTCTTGGTAGATTGAGGCCTGGCAATAAGAAGGCCTTGGCCACTGCTGCTGCCTGTTGGTCAGTATGAGTGGACACAAAGCCCCTCTCCCCAGGGACTGCAGGCCTGCCTTACCTCCTGGACAAGGTCGTGCAATCCTGCAAGGTGATCATCAACTCTTCTCTGGGGGCTACCTTTATCCTGGGGCGGGCTGGAACTGGCTGTGTGTGTACCTGTTCCCAACTCCACATTCTGGGATGTTCTACTGGGGTTTCAGAATAGCCACAGCAGGAGCACAGACACCACAGAAATGGGCAAGTCTACCCAATGCACAGCCCCTCGCGCAGCACAGCCCGGGACCCCAGGAATGGCGGCAAGCCCCCAGCCACAGATGTGCGTTTCCTGGCCTGCAGGTGTTTGAAGAACTGCAAGGCTACACCCAGCGCAGCCACTGCTGGCCTCTGCGGAGGAAGCCCCAAGTGTGGCTTGCAGACCCCACGCTGCCTGGCCAGACCCAGTAACAGTGTGCCCCCAGCCCCAGCATGGCCGGCTGACCCCTTTCCCCTTTCTCACAAACACACACGTAAGGCAAGCGGGGCTCCAGACACAGCCTGAATTTCCAGCTCCCAGAGGAAGGCACTGTCTCCCCACACGGTGCTGTGCTGTGATTTAAGGGAGATGTGCTGAAGACAGGCACACACGCTCCTAAGGGTGCAGCGTCTTAACTCTGCTGCATGTGGCACTTGCACTTGAGCCCAGCCTGCGGCCGTGCTCCTTACCTCCCTCGTAGTAGTGCTGCGTGGACTCCTCAAACGACCGGTCGTAGCTCTGCTCTGTGTATGATGACTGCTGGTAGGCGTAATCGCCGTGGCCTGTGTGACATGGAGACAGCAACAGTCAGCAGAGGCTGCACAGATCCCGGAAGAGGCAACTGAGACCCAGGCTGGGAAGATGCTGTCAGGCCAGGGGGACAACTAGAGCCAGCAGGACCCCGTCCCCATAGACCGACCACACCCCGACCCCCTGTGTCTCGGCTTCCTCGCTGAAATGCAGATCAATGCCTCCTTCTTGGAGCGACTGTGAGGCTACCTGAGGATTTGTGCAGAGGATCAGTGCTCCCAGTGGCCACCCACGGCCATACTAGTGACCCGACTGACTTCTCCCTGCCACTGGCTCCTGGGAGGACGTGGGCAGGTGTCCACCCCTCAGCGAGGCCTTCCCTGCATGTGACCATCACATGGCAAGGGGGGCTTGCCCTGCTGCCACCTGCCCATCTGCCTTCCCCACCTGGCTGTGCACCTGCGTATGGCTGGCTGAGCCCAGCTCCCTGCCTGGATGCCTCCCGGGGATGAACCCAGCCTCCAAGACCATCTCTTTTACTGTTTTTACTTTTTTAGAGACAGGGACTTGCTGCCACTGAGGCTGGAGTGCAGTGCCGTGATCATGGCTCAGCGTGGCTTCAGTTTCCTGGGCTGAAGCAATCCTCCTGCCTTGCCCTCCCAAAGTGCCGAGATGACAGGTGTGAGCCACTGCGCTCAGCCAAGACCACCTTCAGTATCCCCTCCACAGCCCTGGGACTGCGGAAAGACTGAAAGGTGACAGCGGGAAAATACTCTCCAGAGATGAGAGGCGGGAGGGGCAGGTGGTGGGGGTGGAACCGCCGCCTTCAGGGCATTCACTGTGAACTGGGAGGCACCTCCCTGAACGTGTCCACCTTCTATGGGGGGCTGCGCTTCTCCACCTCCAACTCCCAACTCCCACAGCCTTTCAGGAAGGAGGTGAGACTGCACGGAGTCAAGGGTGACGGCGTGTGCCGCAGCTTCTCTCTGCGGAGGCCTGGCACCGCGGCTGGCCCGGCTGACCCTGTTCCCTACGGTGCTCCCGCAGGGCAGCTGGCCACTCTGCGGGCAGCCCAGGCCTGAGCTGGAACGACCGAGGACACATGCAGTCGCAGCCCCCTCGCCCCTGGCGCTGCTCTGCTTTCCTGGGTGGGGCTGGGCACTGCGGGTACTCACCGTCGGGGTAGTACTGCTGGCCCATGGGCTCCGCGGCACTCTGGCTGTGACTGTACTGCTCGCCGTAATACTCCTCCTGGCCCAGGTACTGCTGGGAGGAGCCTGCGGAGGAACCACAGTCAGCACCAGTGCGGGTCGCAGCCTCCTCCTGCCAAGGACCTCCTCACTCGGTGGGGAAGCCAGGGCCCTGCTGAGCGGCCGTGCCCACCCCCAGGAGAACACCCACGGTGTTGCTGTAAACAACTTATTTTTTGTATTTTTAGTAGAGATGGAGTTTCACCATGTCGGTCAGGCTGGTCTCCCAAAGTGCTGGGACTACAGGGATGAGCCCAGCCTGGCTGTGACACTCTTAATCACAGTTGCCACCCACCCCCAACACTGACTTCTTGGGGACAGCAGACCCCTCAGCGGGCCCCACTCCAGCCCCGCACAGCCAGCGCCCACACTCAACACACACCAAGGCGCCAAGCCTCACTCCCCTAGCACCCCACAGAGCAGCACCCACAGGCTGGCACTTCACGACCCGTGGCGGTCAGCTGCGCCCGAGGCCCGCCTGGCTGGGCGTTACCTTGCTGGGAGGGCCGGTAGGGCGCCATGGGCCGCTGCCCCATCATGCTGCTCCCCTGGCTGCCCTGGCCCATCATGGCGATGGACGACTGGCCCTGGTAGTGCTGGCTGCCACCCTGCGTGGAGCTGTAGTGTGATGTGGCCGCCTGCTGCTGCATCATGGAGACTGTGCAACAGGAGAAAGACCTCATGTCACCCCAGGAGGAGGACAGGACAGAGGCCCCCCACCCCGGGAAGAGGACAGAGGCCCCCGTCACCCCAGGAAGAGGACAGAGACCCCCCATCACCCCAGGAAGGGGACAGAGGCCCTCATCACCCCGGGAAGAGGACAGAGAACCCCATCATCCCAGGAAAAGGACAGGACAGAGGCCCCCGTCATCCCAGGAAGAGGACAGGACAGAGGTCCCCGTCACCCCAGGAAGAGGACAGAAGCCCCCGTCACCCCAGGAAGAGAACAGAGGCCCCCATCACCCCAGGAAGAGGACAGAGGCCCCCCATCACCCCAGGAAGAGGACAGAGGCCCCCCATCACCCCGGGAAGGGGACAGAGGCCCTCATCACCCCGGGAAGGGGACAGAGGCCCCAGTCACCCCGGGAAGAGGACAGAGGCCCCCGTCACCCCGGGAAGAGGACAGAGGCCCTAGTCACCCTGGGAAGAGGACAGAGGCCCCCGTCACCCTGGGAAGAGCCTCTCTCCCTCCCTCCCATACCCAACTACCTCCCGTGCCCAGGTGGGCCCTTTGCTATTTTCCTGTGCTCCCCACGAGAACACCGCCCTCCACTGCAATGCACACCTGCTACAGAGCCTGCACTGATGCCCTGCATGCTCAGACCCCCGCTGCGTGCACCCACTAGTTAAACAAGTGCTGACGTGCAGAGACAACAGGGACAGCCCCTGGGCAGGAAGGTCCAGGGCCTTCTACAGCCAAAAAGCACCTCTGCCCTTTCCTCGGACACACGGCTCCCATGACAACCCCGCTTCCACTGTGGCTCGAGTCCTGTTCTCCCTGGTCCCTCGAGCTGGCCTCAAGGGTCACACTGTCCCCGCCTCAGCACCTCTGCAACCTTGAGGCCCTTCACACTGGTGGCGCAGCGTTCCCTGCCTACTGGCCTGTCGTACACGTCCCTGCTCAGGAGCCCCACGAAGCCCCGTCCAACAGAAGTGACATGAGCCACACTTTTTAAAGATTCTAGTAACTACATGAGAAAAGTAAAAACAAACAGGGGAAATCCATTTTAATCATGCACTTTATTTGAGTCAGTATGTCCAAAATAAACGTTTAACATTCAGCGATTCTGAGAAAATCCTACAGAGATCCTCCGCACCCTCTGCTGGCACTAAGCCCCTGAAGTCCGGTCCCTCAAAGACTCCTGACACTCAACCGGGGCTGACACTCACGACACGCGGCGGGGATCTGCTGCTTCTCGAGTGCCCAACACCACACGTGGCCACTGCGGCGGATGGCGCCGCTCTTGGGCTCCCATGGCCCTGCAGAAAGGCTGAGGCCTCTGGCCCAGCAGGCGTGGCCCCTCGTCTTCTCCACTGAGGTGTCTCCGGCCAGGCTGCTCCCTTCCCGGGGAACGACTCTACCCACCTCTGAGCGCCCAGTGCTGTCCGTACAGACCCAGGGCCTCTGGCCCCCACTCCCTGAGACTCCATGGGAAACACCCCCGCCCCTCACGAAGCTGGGGGACAGGGGGAGTCTGCTGTGCACCCACTGGCGTCCACCCCCCCGGAAGCTCTCTGGGAGGTGGTCGGCACAGACTCACGGCCCCTCCCAAACAGCACCCAGCAGGAAGGCAGCTCCCTGGGGACCACACGTCCACCGTGCATGTGCGTCAAGGGTCTTGGAGGCAGGCCCGGGCCCCGCGGGGCAGCAGAGGCAGGAAGTACCTGGATTGGACTGCATGCTGATGTTGGTCCGAGACACATAGTTGCCAATGGCGCCTTGCCCCTGCATGGGGACACCCTGCGACGCGGGCCCTGCGTGGCTGTAGCCGGACCCTGAGACACTCATGGAGGTGGTGGGCAGCGTGTTTGGCGCCGTCTGCTGCATGGACACATGGCTCGGCCCTGCCAGGGGAGTGGGGAGCGGGGTCAGGTGCTGGGCAGCCGGGTCACCACTTCTGAAGGTGAAGACACCCCAATTTCCCTTCAAGTGATTTTGGGGAGAGATGCTATCAATAGCACTACTATTAACCATTGATTAATAAAGAAATAAGTGGCCAGGCAGTGGCTCATGCCTGTAATCTCAGCACTTTGGGAGGCCAAGGTGGGTGGATCACCTGAGGTCAAGAGTTCGAAACCACCCTGACCAACATGGTGGAAACCCCATCTCTACAAAATAATTAGCCGGATCAAGACTATCCAGGCCTACATGGTGAAACCCCGACTCTACTATAAAATACAAAAAATTAGCTGGGTGTGGTGGCGCACGCCTATAGTTCCAGCTACTTGGGAGGCTGAGGCAGAAGAATTGCTTGAACCTGGGAGGCGGAGGTTGCAGTGAGCTGAGATCAGGCCACTGCACTCCAGCCTGGCGCCTGGTGACAGAGTGAGACTCTGTCTCAAAAAAAAAGAAAAAAAGAAAAAAGTAGCCAGGCATGGTGGCGAATGCCTATAATCCCAGCTAATCGCTTGAACCCAGGAGGCAGCATAGACGCTAGCAAAGTATAAAAAGAACGGTACATCTGTCGTTATTTTGTTACTATTTTTTGAGACAGGGTCTGGCTCTGTCACCCAGGCTGCAGGGCAATGACATGAACACGGCTCACTTCAGCCTCAGCTCCCAAGCTCAAGCGAGCCTCTCCCCTCGGCCTCCCAAGTATTTGACAGTTTGGACTACAATGTGCGCCATCACACCTGGCTAATATTTTTATTTTTTGTAGAGATGGAGTTTTGCCATATTGCCCAGGCTGGTCTCAAACTCCTGGCCTCAAGCGAGCTGCTGGCCTATTAGGCCTCACAATAGGCTGGGATCAGAGGTCTGAGCCACCATGCCTGGCCTGTTATATGACGCACAGTCTCCAAACGTTGCTCATACTTTTCAATCCATCGACAGAAGCATTCCAACCTTATCCAGCCACCTACCCGGAGCCCACATCTTGCATGAAGTGGACGGAATATGACGGTGTGAGAAAGTGGGAGACCTGGAGTAAGGACTCATCCAGCCGCACAGCAACCGCACCAGCCCCGAGCCTGGGCGACGGCAGCCCACCTCTGGCTGCCCCAAGAGGAGTGGGTACCCATGCCCAGCCCTGCAAGGTGTGGGGTGTCCACCATGGCAACCAGCAGCCCAGGGCTGCCTCGGTGACTTGTGGCCAGGAATGGCCTCCTCCCCTGGCCACACTCACCGTTGCCGATCTGGCCCTGCAGGAGGGAGGAGGGTGGCAGGCCCGTGCTGATGGCGTCACTCAGGCTGCCCTGGGAGTGCAGGCCCTGGCTGGAGCCGCTCTGACTCAGGGCTCCGGGGCCCAGGTTCATGTTCTGCGTGGGCGGCTGTGGGCAACAGAAGTTTTCAGGAGAAAACGGTTAATTCACAGAGAGTGACCTCCACCGGCCAGGCCAGGGGTGAGAGAGCACCCGAGCTTTGCCGGCATACGCCACAGCCACCCAGTCGATGTCCATAACCATCGCAGCCAGGGTGACCACAGAGCACCAGGCCCAGGGGGAGATGGCGTAACAAGCGTCCGGGTGAACACTCAGAACTCTAGTGAGTATCGAGTTCATCCACACACATGCCTGGCTGTGAAATGCTGCACCTCCTTCTCCTGGGACAGCAGGGACCCCTTCCCTGGCCCGCCAGGCTGCACCCACCCCATCCCTCTCGGGTGCAGCCGGCTGGCGCCTCTGTGTTCCTTGTCCGCGACCCCACCGTGCTGAGGGCCTTGGCACAGGCAGGCTCTCCCTGCTGTTTTCTGTGCTCCTGGTGCGTGTGCCCCCCTCCTCCCTCGCTCCCCACACCTCTACGCCCACCTTGGATCATACCACATGGAAGGAGGAGAGAGTGAAGTGACCCTCAGCACCCCCCGACCCCGATCAAGGTCGAACAGCAGCTCTGGAAGTTTGCACACACATGCTGTCTACACCTAGCCAAGAAAAGGAAATTTCTAGCAGGACCTACGGGGATCTATAGGGCAAAGAACTCCAATGGGACAGGTCCATCGCGGTGGGTTTAACGTTTTTACTCGCAAAACACATCCTAGCATTTATGTCATTGTTTCCAGGGACTTCTGCTCACTAGGAGATACGTCATTCCCTACGACACATTTGTCCCACAACCTTGCTGCCCCCACAGGCTGGTCCTTCAGCAGGACAGAGGCTGCAGCGGCAACACCTCGCCTTCACGGTGACAATTTAATTTTGGAAAAATGCATTTAACAAAATCAAAATAAAATATCTGAACATTTGGAGAATTTACGGTGTGGAGCATAAACGGAACTTCTTTTAAGTTCCGTTTTCACCCACAACAGCGCATGTGCACAGCTCACAACTGCTCAAAGCACCCAGAGAGGTTCCAGGGAGATGTGGGGCCCCCATCTCACCTCTCCACACCCCACACCTGAGAGCCACTGCTGCTGCTCCTAGAGTTCTGGGGCTTTCCTCCATTCGATACGTAAAAAGGCCAAGCCGCTGTTCTGACCCTGCCACCTCAGATGCTGTCATGAACCCCGGTGTGTCAGGAAGGGCTGGTCACCGCCGACCACACCTCCCATTTCTGGTGGTTCTGGTGGTATTGTTGGGTTTCTCTGCGAGTCACCTTTGCTACCTGAGGTGACACGCCCAAGAACTCTGATTGGAGGCAGTGTCGGATCCTTGCTGGGTCGGGGCTCGCCCCGCACGGGTACTCACGGCGGGAAGCAGGGACTGCATGTTTTGGTTGGAGTCCGCGATCGTGGCCAGGTACACCAGGTTCCGGTGCAGGATCTGCTGGTACCTGTGAGTGGGGGGGCGCGCGTGAGGCCGGACGGGACCACCGAGTCTCCAGGCGGATCCATGGCAGGAGGAATATGTGACCGAGACAGCCTGACGTTCAGCCAAACACCATCAGGACATGGACCCCGGATGACACGCAGGGACAGGTCTGCCTGCCCAGCTGAAAACTGGTAGGCAGCAGGGTGCTGGGGTCCAGGCGCCAATGGCAGGGCAGCCTCTACCCCAAACCCTGAGCAGGCTCCCATCCCATGACAAAACTCTGGAAAAACTCTAAAGTGGCAGCCAAGCGGGAGCTGGCACCAGTCTGTTCAGAGAATGGAGATGGGGGAGGCTAGGAGGAGGCAGGGGCCTGAAGGTGACAGAGGGACAGAGCGCTCGTCCAGCTGAGCTGGGCAGCGTGTGGACTCCATGGAGCCAGCGACCCTGAGAAAGGCCTGGAAAGCAGTGGGGAAGCAAAGTCCGGCCAGGGATGGCCCTTCACACACCTCGCACCTGGGGGCCTCAGTCCCTCACCCCACCCACACCAGGGCTGTGTGAGGCCCTTCACCCACTTCCCGCCTCCAGGTCAGTCTGATGGCCATTTGCACAGCCGCTTGGAGAGTGGCAGACTGGCCACGCACCCCTCCTCTGCACTGGGCCCTAGGATCACAGGAGGTGCTATCTGGAGGTGCTGCTGTCCCCCTGGTGCCCTGGCTGTTGGCCGCAGAGCCGCCCGCAGTGGCCAGCCCAGGCCTCCCCACACTGCTCCCAACTCTCTTGGAACTACTCCGGTTCTGGCAGCAACGCTTCACAGCTGTGCTGGGGGCTCTTGGGACACACCTGAACCCCGTGCCTGGACCCTGCCTGACCCCCCAAGCATTCCCACGTGTGGGTGGGAGCACTCACTGCGTGCACTCTGCGTGACCCCTCAAGCATTCCCACATGTGGCCGGGGCACTCACTGCGTGCACTCTGCATGACCCCCCAAGCATTCCCACGTGTGGCTGGGGCACTCACAGCGTGCACTCTGCGTGACCCCCCAAGCATTCCCACGTGTGGGTGGAAGCACTCACTGCGTGCACTCTGCGTGACCCCTCAAGCATTCCACGTGTGGCCGGGGGCACTCACTGCGTGCACTCTGCGTGACCCCTCAAGCATTCCACGTGTGGCCGGGGGCACTCAC